GGGGGGGGGGGGGGGGGGGAAGGGAGAAACAATACCTCTTCTCTTCAACATCGTCGATCTAACTTTCCAAGCGCAAAACTCGTTCTCATATGCTTGTTATACAAACTTGTGCCTATATATGCGTGACAGTATGCGTGTATACATAGGGATGCGAGAGTCAACATTGATTTTGCCGACGACTGATACAACCCCGTCGGCACGTTTAATTAGAACATGGCGACTTTAATACAAGCGCACGACAACAAGAACAACAACAGCGCCCCTTCCCACCCATCCGCTCTCTCTCCACCTTTACATCGTCTCCTCGTTCATCCACACACGCTTCCACGATATATTTCGCGATTTTTTTTCAACTTACGAATCTTTCGAATCGACGAAAACTCGTTTTCTTTCCGTTAATCTATCGAAGGGGTCGCTTATCTACCTAGCCTAACGCGGTCTATGCTAGTGCCAAACACCCCTCTCTCTCTCTCTCTCTCATCCATCATTGTCATCGTCGTCATCGTCATCGTTTATTATTATTATCATCCTAGTATTCCAGTTTGTTCGAATCACGCCCACTCCTCTTTACATCACTCACTCACGTCACTCGTCATACATATACGCGATTCTCGTTTCCCTTTGTTCAATCTTCCTGCTCTCTCACGCGTTCTTTCTCTCGCTCTTTTTTTATCACGCATACGTCCACACACACACATACACTCACATACGTATACACGTGCACGTACAATGGGATCACACAGGACGCATCAGACCGAGATACGATGTTCCCTGGGTTAACGTAACGATATTTCTACTTAATTGAACGCTTGTAAAGTTTTTCTGGGGATACGAATATTTGTGTTTATAAAAATAAGTAAAGCAGGTAATGATATTAAAGTAGATATAAATTTGCATCAACGATATCAAACTATACGAAGGAGAAACGTTTACTCTAGGAACACCGTACATACATGTATCCAATGTATACATTCTCGCGCTAAGGACTATATTCTCTACACGCCTAAGCTACACATGAAAACATCCTATCTACATTAGAGCCAATCGACATTCCACGGAGTCAGTTTATTGTTATTATTACTTCTTTTTTTGCTGTTTTTTATCTTTTACTCTTATTTTTCTTTACTCTCGTTTTATATGTGTGTGTGTGTATATATATATATATTTTTTTTTTCTTTTTCTGGAAAAAAGACGAAGAAAAACTCGGACGGGGACAAACGTCGTTTTCCCGTCCTAGAGAGAGAAGAACGATCGTCAGTTTTTTGTTCGACCCCGAGGAACGCTCGACAGTTTGTTACGTCTAATCGTTAGAGTAATTCTAAGGTTTGCTTATGTCTTACGAATGGTATGATACAGTATACGACTTAAGGAGTTACTCGCTTCATCGACAGAGGTACACCTTTCCACAATGAGGGGTAAGTTCCATTTTTTTCCCCTTTCTTTCTTTTTTTTTTTTCTCTTTTTTATTTAACCTTGTCTTAATTTAAGGATCCACGGTCGATAACTAGGAATCGATTGGAGACCTACCCCTGTGTTCCGTGCATAGATAGAGCGACCGCATCTCTCGATTTATCGACTGAAAATCGATGTGATGAACGCGGATTTCGTACGTTCTGTTTTTTTTTTTTGATATGACTCGACGTTGTACTTTATCAATCTCGATAATTGCGACTCGTGCTTCCAGTTCCATCGATGGATTCGCGTTCACCCGGTTCGTCCTCCATTACGCTTTATTGCCTTCTCTGGTGTCGATTTGGCGGCCAACGAGGACTTCTCGAATTACCTTTTCAGATCTATGCCTCTTTTACCTTCAAAAACAGAGAAGTTGCAGAGAATTCCTGAGCTGAGTTAAGATTAAAGAATATTTCCATTTCCATGATTGTCTTTCACCGTTGCTGTAATTCGATTTAAATTCGTTTTTTTAACAATTGATTTTCTTCTTAGGCTCTCGATCGAAATTAACGAATTTTGTTCCAAGATTTTCGAAGAGTTGCGTTATTATACCACCGGGTGAACACGGTTGCACGATTCGTCTGCTTGGAAATTTACTTCGATCCGATTCTTTCTCGCGTCTTGCTTCGTTGTGAACGTGTGTGTATTCGCGTTTCCAGAAAACGACGAGAACATGCGGTTCCTCTATCTACGTTACTTGTTATCGTAACAAATAAGTTAAAAGAGTTTATAATACACGCATTGCTCTTGGCCCGAATCGAACATGTACACATTTCTCGCGTAGAACGATCAAGCTTATTTTGAATGTCGATTATCGTTATGGATTCGTGTGTGTGTGTATCTCTGTGTGTGTGTGTATGCGCGTGGGTGGTTGATTGGTTGGTTCATTGTTATCATCGACAATTCGACGAACCGTTCACGAAATTGTTCGATCGCGCCACTAAACGGGGATATATGCCTCGTTAAAATGCGCATGTTCGATTCCATCCAGTCGGAAACGGCGACATTTCTCAGCGGAAGTACGCCGGTTTGTTATTCGCGTACAAGGCGACGTCCTTTCAGGACGGGATAATTCTCGACACGCGGTTTATCGCGGCGTTATCACGGATAATTAAATTTAGAGAACAGATCGAGGGGATTCTAAAAATCTTATATGATATTTTAATAATATATATTCTCGAAAATTTCTAACGAGAGAGAGAGAGAGAGAGAGAGAGAGAGAGAAAAGAATTTAAAGAGATCGATTTAAAAAAATTATTAATCAACGTGAGAAATTGTATTTTTCTAGAAAAAATTATTTATTGTATCGGCAATAATCAGACGACGAGGTGATAAAACGTCGAGATAAAACGAGAATAACGAGAATAACGTCTTGCGAACGTACCCTGTACTTACTTGTAATCCATTATATTGTATGTACAATGTTCTTACAATAAATTCGAGCGCACCGTCGACCGT